TCTTCAAGGTGAGATATCGGGATACCTGAGGAATTGCAAATTAATGGTTTTACTACCCGTAATTCCAAGGTAATGGAAACCGTTGTTGCAAGTGCTGTTTAGGGCTGTTGATGCAGGAAAATCCAACCCAACATTCTTTCACAATCGGGCACGTCATGTGCCACAAACTTGGTGACCACCTGTAATGACTGGACCACCAGATGAAAAAGAAGGCAAATAGTTCACGCCAGTCTTCTGAACCTAGCTAGGCCTTTCAGAGTGTACGCACGTAACAGCATACTGACTAAACTTACAAAATTGAGCGTGACCCAACCGCCGATATCTCGTTTAACGGCGTGGGTACATGGAAGTAGACTCCGCGCTGAAGTACGCAGAATTCGATTTTTTGGAGGAGCTCAAAAAGAGAGGTATTTCAAAAAGCGTCCATCGGGTTAATATTTCGGGTAGTTATGAACGATATCTTGAAGTAAGTCTCCTGACTTGTTCTTCCATTTGTCGGTGACATTAGCACATTAGCAAAAAAGCAAGGAAAATGACCCTGGGGTGCTCCAAGACGATCCACCACACGTGGAGTCCTAGACTCCTGCCGATGGTTTGAGCTTCAGCGATAAGGAGTCCAGTGCGACATGTTTTCGAAAACAGGGAGCAATGAATAGTGGCCACAACCACTGCAACTGTGTGATCACCAAGGTGTCCATAAAGATGGACCTTAGACTAAACTTCTCTGACTCACCGGTACCAACTATAAGACAGTGGCAATTTGTAAGGGAGGTAAACCAGGACTGTACCCCTGAATTATTCCTCGGGGTCCATAAGACCCATGTGAGGCAGTGGCTGTAGTCGTTCAACAAAACAGCACTCTCTACTGAAGACAGACACAAACAATTGGGAAGTTGCGGTTAACGGTGACAAAGTCAGTTGCGGACTAACTGGCAAAACGTACCCACAATACCCTAAAAAACTTGACTTCTTCATTTTGGCCTGTAGAAGGAAAAGAAGCGGTCTCATAACAGCCTAAGAGGTAACACGCCAAGCGAATTACCCTAACAGGATAGTAGTATCTGTCTTGGGAACCTTATTCATATGCTCCGCCAGAGGGCTAAGATGAGAGTCACATCCGGCACCCCTCACAGAGTGTGTACGTTATGGAATACCGCTGAAAGAAGTCTCCAAATACCGTTCATTTGACTCTCCCAAGTAAACACTATATGAGTACGTTGTCATACAGCCTAAAAACAAGACGCGCAAGTGTTGTAGAAGGCATGTGGAGCAGCGTGGGGTTGGCGGCGACCACACAAACCTTCAGAGGAAAAGAGGAGGGATGAAACTGAGCCAACGAGTCCACAAGTACGCAGGATGTACTTACGTTTAATGATAAAGGATAAATGATAAACAGTGGAGCTTAGCAACGAAGGGGTGAGGCAGTCTAAAAATCCAGACTGGAAGATAGATCAGTCAAATTTCGAATGCGCTACACAAGTAGAAAACAAAAATACCCTTATTCGTCTCTCTGGTGGTTCATCCTATTAACTACATTACGAACTTTAAGCACGACATGGTGCCACCATTAACAGTGATTTCCCACTGATACTTTTTACTCTTCCTTTTTTCCGCCTGCACAACCTTCAGTACTGCCTTTGGAATGAATTTTTATTGCTTGCTAACTGGCCAATAAAAAGAGCCGAACGAAAAAGCCTGGGCGTGAAGGTCACTTTTATCTACTGAGATCGCTGCTAATGGAGGCTGTTCTAGGCCTTGTTATCTATGAAGTCTTCAAAAATAGTTCCAAAGCCTCAGTCAAATAAACCACAAGTGGAATTCAGACGTTTTAACATGGTGGTCGGTGATTTGAACTTGCTTTCTTAGCAGGTATTGGTATACCTCTCGGTGAACATTTTCAAGAAAAACCTGAACCGTTTCAGAGGCTGCTTGAACTACTGTCCTGCACAAAGAAGGCCGGGAGACTGAAGATCAAAAGGCACTCAAGAAGCCTGTAGAACCAAATGTGAGAGGTCAAAACGATCTGTTTCCTAAGGAACTACAACTGTTGTTTGATGTTGGATTTAAATAATAAGTCCTCCTCTTTATACAACAGAGCGCAAGGCACAATTGCTCAGTACCATTTCAACTACCACCTCGGCAGCCTATGACCATGTAGCCCTAGTTGGAGATTTTAACACACCAGCACTCAACCTGGGATGTGAAGCACAATATGGGAATAAATCTTTTGAATAGAAACTTCGAAGTACGTTTATGGCAGCAGGACAGATAGAGGTTGGGTAAAACATCAGATGGGGACCAGATGGAAAAGGATCACCACTCGGCTATGTTCCAACAGACGATGGTCTTTTGGTGAACAACACCTATGTTCAACCCCCCCTCGCAAGTAAACGTGACCACGCATTGGTGAGATTCTCTCTTATAACCTAGCAAACACCGCCAGTAGTTGAACCAGCAGTGTCCCGCCATTACCGAAAAGCAGAGTACCATCTCATGAATACCGAAGTCGTGGAGGCCGCATGGCCACAAGAATGGCGCTAACCGTTGACGGATGAACACTGGATACATATTTAAGATGTTATCTGCAGCGCTATTGATAAGTGATCCGAAATCAGCCAGACAGCCACCTCTCAAACGGTCATGGGTAACTCGCGCAATCCGAAAGCAAATACAGAAGAAAAAGAAGGCATGGCATCGGCGGCGTACATCACGCGAAGAGTCAGATTTTCGTAGCTACAGGACGTTACACAACGTATATGATATAAGAATTCATAATGACAGATATACATACTGGGGCAACCTGGCTAAACAGCTAAGCTACAGACCGAAAAGTCTGTATCTGCTTATGTTACAACGCAAACCGAAGAATGAGGGTTTAAACCTGATCATGGGGCCGGCCGTTAGACCTCTGAACAGCAACGAAATAGCGGAACTGTTGAGCAGCTGACTCGACGAGCAACTCAACCCAGAAATATATCCACTTTCGACATTCAGCCCCAGGACTGCCATATAAAGCTGATGAACGTGAACATTCCGTCGAACCAAGTGTTCGCGAAATTTTCCACACTGGGAATAAAGAATTCCCCGGGCATAAGATCGGTGGTCCCACGCAAATGTGCCAAAGCACTAAGCAAACTCATATGCAACCTGTCAACGCACTCGCTGGAACTAAGTCAACTCCCCAAAGAAGGGAAACGCGCCATTCTTTCACCAATTTTCAGGAGGGAAGACCGAAAAGACCCGTGCAACTGCAGATCAGTAGCGCTACTCCCAATGCCCTTCAGGGTACTGGAATGCCACGTTGCGGATGTCGTTTGGGACTGCCGAACAGAAACAGCATCTCCCATCCCACCCAGCATGGCTTCAGAACCGGGAGGTCATGTGCCGCCAACTTGGTGATCACTTGGGATGACTGGGCTGCTAGGTGGGTCAGCAAACAGCCAGTCCAGGTTATCTTTCTAGACCTGATCCAAACTTTGATGGCGTCCCACACTTCGCCATCCCAGCTAAACCTGCAAAAAGGGATATCGCTGAACCACTCATAGCACGGTTCACAGCGTATGTAGAGGAAGGAGAATTCTGTACTAAAGTAAACAGAATTCGATCATCCTGGAGGAATGCAAAAGCAGGGGTTTCTCAAGGAGCCATTCATGGACCACTCCCGTTTTTACCATTCAGAAATGAGCTACACGTTAAAACCTCATCATCTAACCTCCTATTCGCCGACCACACCAAAACATGGAGGACGACTGGTGACGAAGACTTGTTGCAGCTAAGTTCCCGGTCAGCTGCACACCGTTTAGGCTTTAACCTGGAGAGATGCAAGGTGATGTATCTTCGCACGTCAGAGGCGATGAAAATCGGCCACACTGCTAACAGGTATGCAATCACCAAGGTATTCGCAGAGAACGACCTAGGACTGGACTTTTCTGACACGCTGGATACTACTGGCATTTACAAGGCAATGGCAGCAGAGGTGAACGCCTTAGTGCACTTTCTAAGAAGGAAGTTTGGATTGCTAACCCAGAATTATTCCTTATGGTATTTAACATCAATGTCGGACCACGCCTATAGGTGTTCGGCACATCAACCTCCCCTCCAGTACTAAAGGGAGACGCAAAATGCTCTCGAGAAGTTACAGTGAGCAACAATAAAGTCAGCTGTCAGAATAATAGGTAAAACCTATGCGCAACACCTCAGACAACTCAACTTGTTCACACTTAGCTATCGAAGGTAATGAGGTGACCTGATAACAGCCTACAATATCGTTTCCCAAGTGGACCACCCGAGTAGGACAACGTTATTGGTCCGAAACCGACAGTCTCGTGGGAAATCCTCTAGCATACCCCACCATAGGGCGAAGACGAAGGTGAGGTCTTCTTCTCCCACAGAGTATGTGCCTTACGGAAAGCTTTGCTGAAGGGAGTGAGTGCAGCTACACCGGTCAACTTCAAACGACTACTGGATGAGTATGTGAACGCAAATGGCTTACCATGAACATTTGTCAGTCGAAACTGATGGCACACCCTTTCACCTTTTTATTCCCTAATCTTAGTATCTGCAATAAGAAGCATCTCTCCTCCATGTTATCACCAGTTACATTTATCTTCACTAGTACTTTTCAATCCTGTTTTTCCCATTCCCAACTCACCCTGTTTCTATCACATTTTAAGTAACGCTTGACACCTATCTGCAGATGCCCACAACAACAGGAATCGCAAACGATTGACTGATCTTATCAGTAGCTCCGTCGCCCCCCCCCACCCACCAAAACAAACCAAGCTACAATTTGCAAATAAAATACCGTCAAAAAGACAATCACTACCTCCAAAGCTATAAGCAGGAAGACGCAAAGACTTCTGAAACCATCAAAGGGGTACAACGGAACAAAAAGAACCCAGCCTCACGACCTACAAGCGAGAGCTCAAAAACTACAAGTTTCCTCTTCTCGCACTATTGAATTTGGATGTTGGACCGGGAATTGTGAGTCTATTGTTACTATGTCACTAAAGATCTCTCCGGTTGACAATATCGACAAGGCTAAAGCATTATGGAGGTGCGGTATTTCTCATGTACTTCTTACAATTGCAGAGCTGCTTACGTTTCAATGAAAAAATTGGAGTCGGTTTATCATGGTGGTAAAGCCATCAAGACAGTTTTCAGTTACGAAGCCTACGGGCACAGATTAAGGTTTGCATAAATTATTTCATTGTTAAAAAACTACAGGCTGAAAGAAATACTGCATAAGCTTATGTTCTTGGATTTTGGACTAAATGCGCGTCGATCTGAGGAGCTTATTTGGCGAAAAGTGTTTTACGAACCTTTTTTCCTGTTCAAACTTTATGTAAAAGTAATTTAAGTACGTACCATAATTGAAATATTCAGGAAAATGATCAACAAGATCGTGTTGCTGTGTTTGAAGAATCACTTGTTGTCCACATCCTTAGTGCGATTGGGTACTATCAGTCTTTGATTTTAGCTGTACAATCTGAAGCAAGTGAAACACACCCTGCTGATTTTTGTACATGGATTCCAGTTGCTTTTCATATCCCTCTGTACTGTGGTAAGTTGTCTTTTTCGCTTATGTTTCATGTGAGGGTTGGTTTTCGAGTTTGAAACAAGGCCGAAATTTTCTGAAGAGAACAGAAATGCTGCTAAGAAACTGATACACAAGTGCTTGACGAATATTGGGGATCTTTGTATGTTTTCAATATGCCTATAACACAAACAGTTCGCTATTTAATTGATCTTGGTGATGTAAATGCCAAACGACTTGCTTACCGATACTACAAAGCTGCCTTTTACTTTGATCCTCTTATGGGTAAGTGACAATGTCTACGTTTTTACAACCTTCAAAAGGCATTCAGTAAGTATTTCTCAGATTATATCATATAAATGGATATTTCTGCCACGTTTACTAAACAGAGGTAGTGGATTTAATTGATTCCCTTGTATAGTTGGCTTGAATTTTGATGTTTTATTTCTATGAGTTTGATTTCAGTATAATTGGCCGTCATGTGGATCGGTTTGCGCAGTCTGACCTGTGATCCTATATTGTTTAACACTTTTTTGTTTTGGGCTCTGATCGTCATACGTTTTAAGTAATGTTATTTATCATTACTATTATTATTTATTATTGTCCCTTGGGTTCCTAGTGGAACATAGGGCTTCAGTAGCATGTCTCCATTTCACTCTGTTCTCTGTGTTCTTTTGAACCTGGCTCCATGACTGCCCACAAGCTTTCATTTATTCTTCACATAATCTCCTCCATATCACCTTCAGCTCGAACGCCCAACCCATCGTTTCCCCTTTGGATTCCGCTCGGGGGCCTGGTGCGTGATGTCCCCAGTCGGCCTTCTCAGTGTATGCCCAACCTATCTCCATTTTCTGCTGCATATTTGTTGGGCGATGGGTTCTTGCTTCGTTGGTTCGTTCCCAGAGTTCCTTGTTGCTTATTCTTTCTGGCCATTTGAATTTCAGTATCGAGCCAGCGTAGGCAGTTGTTGATGAATGTCTGCAGTTTGTTGGAAATGCTCTTCGTGATACGCCAAGTCTCTGAACCATGTAGAAGCACTGACTTGACATTGGTGTTGGAAATCCGTATGTTGTTCACGCTTTATGCTGAGTGCAGAAGATCTCCACACTGGTTTCAGGTTAATGAACACCTATATTGCTATCTTTCCCATCCTTGCTTTGATGTCATCTGTGCCACCTGTAGATTAAACGATGCTGTCTAGGTAGGTAGGTGAAAGAGACTACTTCCTTTAAGTTTCTCCCGTTGATGGTGGTTAGTTAAGTATCTTCATCACCTCTGTCTTCTCTACATTCACTTGAAGTTCTGTCTTCTCTGCCTCGCCTCTTCTGTCAACTTGTTGGCTTTTGCCTGTAGATCTTCGAGTTTGTGCGACATTAGACAGACATAAATCATCATGGGCGAAATCCAAATCTTCTTCTAGGGTCTTTTCATTGGTCCAGCGTATGCCTGTCTTCTCGCTCCTCATGGTTTGCTGCTTGATCCAGTCGACCACAATCAGGAAGAACATGGGTGATAGTAGGCAGCCTTGTTTTACTCCTGTCTTCACTTCAAAGGCGTCACTGGGCTTTCCATTGTGGATCACTTGGCATGTGGCGTTTTCATATAGCTGTTGAATGAGGTTGATAAAGGTTTGTGGTATTCCGTAGTATTGATGTAGTTTCCAAATTACTTCTCGATCGACGCTGTCGAAGGCCTTTTCAAAATAGATGAAGTTGAGGTAGAGAGTTGATTGCGCTTCTACGCTATGTTCTGTGATGATATGTAGCGTTGCAATTTGGCCCGCACATGATTTGTACTTCCTGAATCCAGCCTGCCTGTTCCGGTCGTAATTTTGAAGCCAACGCATTGTTTAGTCTCCCCAGGACGATGCGGCTTTATATTTTGCTTGGGATGAACAGCAGCATGATTCCGTGCCAGTTCTTGCAAAGACTTATGTCTCCCTTCTGTGTAAGTTTGACATGGTAGCCCTTTTTCCAGTCAATGAGCAGGTACCTTTCTTTCCTCCCAACCTTCTGCAGCGGTAGTGTGAGCATGTCCGCTGTTGTCTCTGCGTCTGTTTCCAGTGCTTCTAGAGGAATTCCCTCCGGTCCTGCTGCTTTCCCGGATTTCAGCAGCTTTATGGCGTTCAGGACTTCGACTTTTTGTCGGAGGGCTTGTGTTCACTGGTAATTCTGTGGCTGCTGGTAGTATTTCTGGACCAGTTGCAGATAGTAATGGTTGTTGATTCAAGAGTTTTTTGAAGTGGTCAGCCCATTGTTTCCTTTTTTTCCTCTTTGGTAACTAGTTTTACTTCACTATCTTTCATTGGTTTCGTCTGTGTTGATATCTTCCCTCCCGGATAGTAACCTGGTTATTTGATATAATGTTGTCAGATCTCTCTCTCCTACCAGCCTGCAGCCTGTTTTGCTTCACTTGACAGTGTGCTGTAGAAGTGCCTTTTGTCTTTGCGCGCACTCTTCGCTTATTTATCCAGTGTTTTATAGGTTGTACTCAGTTCCTCTTTTTGTACCTGCAATATACTTGCAGGAGTAGTAGTAGGAGTTATAGGAGTAGGAGTTATCAATAGAATTTCTGAATAGGCAGGGTGTAGAGATATGAGTATTTTTGGATAGTGATAAGTATTCGTGTGTTGCACTATCTGGCGAACGATAAAAATCTGGTGGATACACTCACAGGCAGGTGTGAAACCAACTAAGCTTTGTCAGGTTTATTATTTCTGAGCTCCACATAGATTTAGAGTGATGCTACGAAAGTAGCACAACTGGAATTGTTCCCTTTGAGTATTATGGTCGGCTTTTGTTTTAACTGCTCATACATACTCCTGTCTATAGCTGTTGATTCATTTTTCATTAGGGCTACCACATAACCAGCTGGGTATTCTAGATGTCGGGCGCTGCTACGGCTTAAATGCTGTTTTTCATTATTTACGTTGTTTGACGTCGGATTTTCCATTCGACGGTGCCAAAGGAAATCTTCTCACTGTATTAGCTAAAAATGAGGTTCGTTATGGTAGAATTATCCGTGAAAACCCATCTAGAAGTTCACGCATCAGATATGCCTCTTATTTCAGGTGAGTTTACTTTATTTTCTTCAACCCAAGAGGGTTACATGTCAAGTGTAAAATAAACAAAACGAGCCATGTGCACCATTAGTATATTGGTTCCAGCCACATCTTTTTAACAGATGAAAATGAAATTTACCTGACAGAGAGCACATTATAATAAATCACAACTCATCTTACGACCTCGACGTGCAATATTAACCAAAGTGGGACTGAACTGCGAAAACCGAAATGGTCACTCAACGCAAACATAAGACCAAACCATGAAGTCTCTGACTGTTAGCGTGGTTTGTCTAGGTGGGTTTCGGCTGCTTAATTGGTATCCCGAAAATGTTAGGAATCACTGGTTGGACAATCTTAATGGTAGGGGAAAATGTCTTAGTGGGACAGATGTATTCACTCTCTAACATCAACGTTTGGAACGTTTTGTTTATCCCCATTTATTTCTCTTTTTCTTCATACACTACCTTATTATCACTCTTTTTCTATTCATCTGGCATTTGTGTGTTGTTGTAATGTTACAACGCGAACTCATGCACTCATGTAAAGTTCAGCCTGGAAATGTCTTTGTACTGCCGTCTGTTAACTTGATTATCCCACGTCGTTCTTTTTGCCATTCTCGAACTAGAAGCTTACAAAGCTTCTAGTTCAAAAAATATCTCACCCAACTTATTCAATGTGATTTCATAAACTTACTATCTAATCTTTCTGTTGTTATGCCTAACTTCAATATGGTTGTCTCAGTTGTTCTACGACGTAGAAGGAATGTTATTGTAACAGTGATAGAAAACAGTACAACCTTTTTATATCATCTGGCTTCACTGTCTATACTTCCGATATATCCTGATATATTCTGTTTGCCTAAGGTGGTGCGACTTAATCCAATGTGCTCATACAACAATTTATCCAGCCACAAGCATTCTGTTTCTTGATAAGTGAAATTACCTCCGTTTTAATTACTTGATATTATCAAGCTAATTGACAGCTGAACTTAGTTGTAAAGTGTTTTGTATGTTGCAAATGTAAAGCACATACCAAACATTCATATTCCCTCTCAAAGTGTTAAAAAGACAGTATGTTGTCAACATGAACTTATTCGACCTGTCAAACTGTTCATGATGTGTACATACATTATTCAACAATTCACAGTAAAATAGCTTCTTTTTTTTCAACTTTTTAAAAATTGTTATTCTTTCTTTTTTAGACCAAAAGATTTTCGGAAGACTATCATGAAGTTCATCTATCTAATTCAACAATTTCTAAAGCCTGAAGAGTATGTAACTATTTTTATTGTTATTAACTTAAAGATTTTACCATTATCTTTGTCGCTTAATTTGCTGAAATGGAGTGTTGGAAATTGAACCGTCATGCTGTAATACCTGGCCCTATGTTGATGTTGATTTACTATTACCAAAGGTCATTTCAATCAGATAGTGGGTAGCAATAAAAGAAGACCACAGAATTTATAAAATTCAAAGTATGTTGAAGGATATTTGCCTTTTTTTTATCACTTCAACTTCAAGAAAACGGGGAACTACATCATGTCGGACACTTTCTGGTGCACTCCTACCGAGAAGGTTGGGGTGCACTAACAGATTTTGCTGCATTCTTCATTCCAAAACTCTGTCACCATCATCATCAAGATCGACACAGAACCAGGCATTACTGCGTGACCGTCCAAGTTGCACACCTCATATCTGCACATCAAATCATAAGACAATAAAATGGAAGGTGAAAAAAGAAAGGAAAATCAGTCAAAAGTAGTAAAGGATAGGATGGAAGAATGAGATGATGAGGCTAAGTGTAACGATTATGATCTGGATAATATATGTATGCATCTGCACCACTGACATCGGTCCTGAGCCACATCACCTAGAGTCTCCAACCACTGGTTTCTCCTGTTCAGCAGACCCCAAATGAGTAGTCTGCATCGCCATACTTGGCTTAAACGAACAGTCAAGGTTTTGATGCATTGATGCCATGTTTTAGTCTGACGGCGCTGAGCCTTTTTCCATTCTGAACCTACTCCGACTAACACTGTGCGACGAGGCAGACGTAACACATGTTCCAACCATCTCATTTGATGAAGGTTCACAACCGCATCAAATATGTATCACAAATGACTACCTATTCAGTTTTCTCAACCCGTTTCACGGTCAGGAAAGGGCGTTAGTTGTGGAGTTGGCGTGTTTTTTATTCACCAGTACTAATATTTCTAACAGAAATCGCCTATCATTTCACTATTCCTAGGGTACCTGAAGACAAATGGAGTCATATCACTGCTATGATGTTTCCACTGGATTCGATGATCCCGGCTAGAACAGCAGAGACAGAGTGCAGAAAGTAATTGAATATTCTTAGTCCAGAAGAATCAGGTTTTACAAGTGTAAGGTAGAATTAAGACCACTGAAATCTTGTACACCCAACATTTTGCATCTAGACTCGTGCCACGACGATGCTGTATTATGACCTGTATCGCTTTATTATTAACCTCTAGCTTTTGTTATGTGATTTATGCTTGTCACGAGGTGAAATCATGTTAATACAGTCCGAAAATTGCCCCCTAATGCGATACAAAGGATCAGAAATCCATTTTATAATAAATTTATATTCATAGTCGCCAATTCGTGATTGTCCCTAGAAGAGTTTTTTTCGATGGAAATGCAAATGAGTAACAGCGAAATCTGATAGCCCTATCTAACCTTATCGCTGTTTTAAAACAGCGGATGTTCCTGTGTTGTCACTTTAAACCAAGTAATTCACCCAAATGATTTTTATGCTAGTAACTAACTATGGAGAGAATTTTCCCACAGTATTTCATAACAAAATCATGACAAACAAATTAGAAGCAGTCAGTAGTTCGGGTTTCAAAACGTTTATTAACTTATAATAAATGCCATTTTCAAGTGTATGACTGAGTGAACATATAATCAGTACATACAAGTTCTAAGTAAACATTATAAAGTCTGCTCGTTGTTGGTCAGTTTTTTCACCATTGTACACAATCCACGTAATATGAAATCAGCTGTTTTTTTGATGTGATGGCTAGTAGATTTATGTTTCACATACACTTTTCTGTATTTTCGAAGCAAATCAGTGTGGATAGCAGGTTGACAGGCTTCATTTCTAAGAATTCTTTCTCAACCTTTATCCTTTCTTATCGCTCTGTATCACCGTATCAGGCTGCTCTGGTCGCTAACTAAATTCACTGTTATGATCAGGCAGTCAGACCACCGTTCTTAGTTGTTAGAGCGATTTTTCTGGTTAATTCCGATAACCAACAAGACTTTAGTCTACTAAATAGTAGACTGATCCTCTGTGCTCGTTCAGGATACGGCTCCTACTGCTTCTTTATGGAATGGTGTGGTCGTTTTCTGGCGAGTAAATGCCAGTTTTTACTTCTTAGAGGGACAAGTGGCACACTTAAGTCGCACGAAATTGAGTATTAACGGGTCTTTGATTCCCTTAGATGTCCTCGGCCACACGTGCGCTGCAGTGATGGTTCCAGCGCGTCTGAAAACCTGGCCCAAAAGCGTTCGGCAAACTATTTCATCACCATCGTGGCTAGGAGCAGGGAATTCCTGGTAAGTGCAAGTCATAAGCTTGCGTTGATTACGTCCATGCTCTTCTTATACACTGTCCGTCGCTACTACCGATTGAAGTCTTTGGGTTGATGTCGCTGAAGTGGCTTGCCACTCGACTGATGCTAAGAAGACGACCTTATTTGACCATTTAGAGAAGGTAAAAGTCGTAACAAGGTTTTTCGTAGGTGAACCTGCTGATGATATATAAATACGGTGTGCTAAAACATGCCACACCGTAAAAATTTGCAACTTCTTTTGAAGATTTTTGTACTAGTTAACCATCCTCTGCAAAGTGTTTTTCGAAAATAAATGTTCAGTTTATACTTGTATTACGTCCCATTATCACATCAGTAGCCCCCTATTACGAGTAAAGGTCTCTTATTCTCCCTGATTTGGAACATGTGAGATTTTGAGGCATTATTTCTCTTTTCATTTACTTTTAATTTCAATCCAATTGTTTAAACGATTTTCAGCGGTGACCAAATAATGCAAATTCTCCCAAGTTTTGATACAATAATGAAAACTGTTAAATCAGGACACCATTTTACAGTCTTCGGATCGCAAACAGTTGGTGGACTGAATCTCTATGGAGTAATATACTATTTGTTTCGAATCGGAATTGGCTTGTATTGTACTCAGAAACCTTGTGTACTTTCATGCAGCAGGCAATAAGCCACACATATTCTTTCAGGGCTATTGATGGTAGTACTTGGCTACTCAAACCTCGGTAGATGGAGCGGGCTTCGGACCCGTGACCCATAGGTTAAAAGCCACAACTTTATATTGTTTCCAGTAAGTATGTGTGAAATGTAGCACACCAACAGGAAGTTTTCTTAATCACACTTGCTTGTTTTGCAATTTTCATTGGAATTTATTTGTTAGCGGTGACTATCTTACATACTACATATAATTTCAGACTAACTTAAAGTTCCATTGTTCTTCGGAGAATCACATTAGTACAAATAACTGAAAATTTCACTTGGAACAATCCGCTTATTGAAGTCGAAATGATATCAGTGCTGTTTGAAAATGAAATAACAAATTATATTTTTGATCATCATAGCTATGATAGTGTTTACAACGTGATTGTAGTGATATGAAACCCGAGAGTTGTGTACCTTCATGCGAACTTGTCCATTCTACATCTGCAGCAGCACCAGACGGACTACCTGCTGAGGTATACAAGAATGGTGGTAGAGTGCTCTTAGTCAGGTTAACGGAAGTGTTAGCCAGTATATGGGAATCAAATACGATCCCCTCCGACTGGTCTAAGTCACTCATCATCCCAGTCTTCAAGAAAGGCGAGAAGTCCTCTTGTGATAACCACAGAGGAATCAGCCTGACGAACATAGTGTCTAAGATCCTAAGTTCTATAATTCTCCGACGCCTGAGTGGAGCTCGGGAACAGCAAGCCCGAGAAAACCAGGCAGGCTTTAGACCTGGCCGTGGATGTATCGACCAAATATTCACACTGCGCCAGGTCCTGGAACATAGGCATGCTTACAGACGCCCGACAATAGCTGTATTTCTCGACCTGAAGGCGGCATTTGACTCCGTTGATCGAGAAGTCTTATGGCAATGTCTGTCACTGAAAGGCGTGCCTAGTAAGTACATCACGTTATTGAAAGCTCTCTACTCGAACACTTGTGGGCATGTTAGAGCCTATGGCGAGTTGTCCAGGGAGCTATACTCATCAAGTGGTGTCCGTCAAGGATGCCCACTATCCCCATTCTTATTTAATTTTATCATAGATATTCTTATGGAGGTTTCCCTCTCGTCACCTAATTACAGAGACGTTGACCCGATCACAGGTGAATTTTCTTTAGATCTAGAATATGCAGATGACATAGTCCTGTTAGGTGAAGACGCTGACAAGATGCAGAGTCTTCTGAACACTTTGAGTGGGAATTTGAGAATGTTTGGGATGCGATTTTCACCACCCAAATGCAAATTTTTGCTCCAGGACTGGTCTTCAGCGGTACCGCGGTTAACAATAGAGAGTGAAGTGGTTGAGTGTGTTGACCACTTCACTTACCTGGGAAGTAGGATCAACCCTGGTGGGTTAGTTGCCGATGAGATTTCTGCACGGATACAAAAGGCTCGATTGGCTTTTGCCAATTTGCGCCACCTATGGCGCCGCCGTGATATTCGTTTGTCTATTAAGGGTCGCGTGTACTGCACAGCAGTCCGCTCTGTTCTACTGTATGGCTGTGAAACATGGCCATTGAAAGTGGAGGATACAAAAAAGCTTCAGGTGTTTGACCACCGTTGCCTTCGTAGTATAGGACGTATTCCGTGGTGTCACCATGTGAGTAATGCAGAAGTTAGGTGTAGAGTTTTGGGGAGAAGAGGTAAGTCAGTTGACGAGGTTGTGAACCTTCATCGACTGAGATGGTTGGGACACGTACTACGTATGCCTAGTCACCGATTGCCTCGTCACACAATGTTGGCTGAGGTGGGTCCAGGCTGGAAAAAGGCCCGAGGTGGCCAGACTAAAACATGGCACCAATGTATGAAGTCTCTGACTGTTGGTTTAAGCCATGTAGGACGATGCAGACTAGGTGGTTGGGGTCCACGGGACAAGAGGAACCAGTGGTTGGAGACCCTAGGTGATATGGCTCAGAACCGAAGTCAGTGGCGCAGATGTATACACACATTATCCTCATCTTAACAACGCTATACCGAATCTCACCATTTTGTCACTCCTCTTTCCTTTCTTCTCGTACTTTATATTTCTTTTGACTGCATTCACTTATCTTCATCCTTCACCTCACTACCTTTTTACTTGATGTGCTGATATGAGGTGTGGCAACTCGGACCGTTACGCAGTAATGCCTGGTCCTATGTTGATAATGATGATGATGACATCTGCGCGAAAAGTCAACACTAATTACTTGTGGCTTGTATCTTTTCTATCGTACTTGACATTGTTAACATTAATTATTCCTAAACATTCAAGTGGAATAATCAGTAGATTGTCTTAAAAATTAATTTCTACAAGTCACGTGAACGATTTCAAGAGTTTTATCTCTTTAGTGACAGATGATAGTTGCAGATTCACGCACAATCTTGTTCTGACGATTCTCAGAGTGCATGTGCATAACTAATTTCTAGTCAGTCACTCTTATTTTGTCTTCTTCTTCTTATTATTATTATTAGTCCCTTGGGTTCCTAGTGGAACATAGGGCTTCAGTAGCACGCCTCCAGTGACCTCTGTTCTCTGAGATCTTTTGAACCTGGTCCCACGACAGCCCAGAAGCTCTCATTTCCTGCTCGCACGACCTCCTCCATGTCACCCTCGGACGTCCAACTCGTCGCTTCCCATGGGGATTCCACTCGAGCAACTGGCCTGACGCGTGATGTCCTCCGTCGGCCTTCTCAGTGCATGGCCAATCCATCTCCACTTCTTCCTGCATATTTGTTGCGTGATAGGTTCTTGGTTGGTTCGTTCCCAGAGTTCCTTGTTGCTTATTTTTTCTGGCCATCTGATCTTCAGCAGAGAGCGTAAGCAGTTGTTGATGAATGTCTGTAGTTTATTGGAAATACCTTTCGTGACGCGCCAAGTCTCTGAGCCATACAAGAGCACTGACTTGACGTTGGTGTTGAAAATCCGTATCTTGTTCCGCATGCTGAGTGCAGAAGATCTCCACACTGGTTTCAGGCTAATGAACGCCTGTCTTGCTTTTCCGATTCTGACTTTGACGTCCTCGTCCGTCCCGCCTGTAGTTGAAACAGTGCTTCCTAGATAAGTGAAGGAGGTTACTTCCTTCAAGTTTCTCCCGTTGACGGTGATTGGAGTTTGTTGTTGTTGTTGATGGTGGTGGTGCGGTATCTTCATCACTTCTGTCTTCTCTATATTCACCTGAAGTCCCGTCTTAGCTGCCTCTTCTATCAACTTGTTAGTTTTTGCCTGCAGATCTTCAAGTTTGTGTGACATTAGGCATAAGTCATCGGCGAAATCCAAGTCTTCTAGGTTCTTTTCCGTCGTCCAGTGTATCCCCCTCTTCTCGCTGCCTACTGTTTGCTGCATGATCCAGTCCACCACAATAAGGAATATCATGGGGGATAGTAGGCAACCTTGTTTCACTCCTGTCTTCACTTCAAAGGCATCACTGAGCTTCCCATTGTGGATTACTTGGCATGTGGCATCTTCATATAGTTGTTGAATGAGGCGGATAAAGGTTTGCGGTACTCCGTAGTATTGAAGCAGTTTCCAAATTACTTCTCGGTCGACGCTGTCAAAGGCCTTCTCAAAGTCGATGAAGTTGAGGTGGAGAGGTGATTGCCATTCTATGCTCTGTTCTATGATGATACGAAGCGTTGCAATTTGGTCTGCACATGATTTGTACTTCCTGAAGCCTGCCTGTTCCGGTCGTAGTTTTGAATCCAGTGCATCTTTAAGCCTCTCCAGGATGATGCGGCTTAATATTTTACTTGGGGTGGACAGGAGAGTGATTCCGCGCCAGTTCTTGCAAGCACTGAGGTCTCCCTTCTTCGGCAGTTTGACAAGGTAACCCTTCTTCCAATCGTCAGGTACCTTCTCTTCCTTCCACACCTTCTGCAATAGTGGTGTGAGCATGTCCGCTGTTGTCTCTGCATCTGTTCTCAGTGCTTCTGGCGGTATTCCATCTGGTCCTGCTGCTTTCCCGCATTTCAGTAGCTTTATGGCGTTCAGGACTTCCATTTTCGTTGGGGGATTAATGTTCACTTGTAGTTCAGCGGCTGCAGGTGGTATTTCTGGACGAAGTGCAGGTGGTGGTCGATTCAAGAGCTTCTTGAAGTGGTCGGCCCATCGTTTCCTCTGTTTCTCTTCTTTTGTAATTAAATTTCCTTCTTCATCTTTTATTGGTTTCATCTGTGTTGGTCTCTTCCCTGATAGCAACCTGGTTATTTGATACAATGTCGTCAGGTCTCTCTTACCTGCAGCCTGTTCTGCTTCACTTGCCAGTGTTTCGTAGAAGTGTCTTTTGTCTTTGCGTGCACTCTTCTTCACTTCTTTGTCCAGTTCAGTGTTTTATACATTGTGCTCAGTTCCTCTTGTCGTTGAGCATCCTTGCACTGGTTTATCTTCTGCTTCACCATCCTCCTCTCCTCTATCAGCTTCCAGGTATCCGTCGAGATCCATTCCTTGTCTTCTTTCTTCTTCCTTCCTAATACTGTTGTGCAGGTTTCTTTCCACATAGCTTTCAAAGACTTCCAGTGTTCTTCCACACAGGTTTCTTCAGGGATGTTGCTCGATGTCTCCCATTTTGTCTTGATGGCTGCCTTGAAGATCTCCTTTGTAGTTTCATCCTTCAGTTTCCGAGTGTTGTACTTGAGTTGAGGTCTATCACCAGCTTCCTTGAAGGCTTTTAACTTGATTTGGAAGGTTCCTTGCACTAGATAGTGGTCTGAACCTACATCTGCTCCTCTTCTTGACCTTGTGTTAAGTAGACTGCGTCTCCATTTTCTTGAGATTGAGATAAAGTCGATTTGATTTTTAGTGTGTCCATCTGGTGAAATCCATGTCGCTTTGTGGATATCTTTGTGCCTGAACACACTGCCTCCAATCACCAAATCGTTGAATGCGCAGAATTCTGCAAACAATTCTCCATTCTCATTCATTTCACCTAGCGCCTCTCGACCCATGGTTAGTTCTCTTCCCGTGTTGTCCCCTCCCAGTTTGGCATTCATGTCGCCCATTAGAATTTTGATATCGCCAACTGACGTCTTGTCCAGTGTTGATTGAAGTTGTCTGTAGAAATCCTCCTTTTTCTCTTGCTCTGCATTATTTGTAGGTGCATAACATTGTATGATTGTGACCTTTCTTCCTTTTGAGTTGAATCTTGCTGTCATGATCCTGGAGGAGATTGGTTCCCACTGCATGAGAGCCTTCGATGCTCTTGAGGACATCATGATAGCCACTCCCTCAGTGTGCTCGTGGTTGGCGTCTGGGTGACCGGAGTAGATTATTGATTCTCCAGTTGACAGTTTGGAGAGTCCACTCCCATTCCATCTGCTTTCGCAAATCCCAAGCACTTCGATGTTATACCTTCTCATCTCCTTTGCAATCTGGGCTGCCTTACTGGGTTCAAACATCGTGCGGACATTCCATGTCCCCACGTTTACTTTCGCTTTCATCGAGAGAAGACACATCGGCCAATTGGCTTCCCGAAGGCTTTCACCAACTGGCGTCATTTCGCCTCTCCGATTCCAGCGGGGAATAAGTTTGTTTTCATTTTTTATATTTTGTTTGTGCTTTGAAGTTTCTTTAGCGGTTAGATTTGTTTTACGGGGTAGGGTTGCTAGCCCTATGCCCAACCTTCCCTTTTTACCCGGGCTTAGGACCGACTAGTAACTAGTAAACTAGTTAACCAGGCGAGGTTATTTTGTCTTCTACGTTTGTGAAAATAACTCAGCATAATAGTTGTTTAGTTTTCTCTGAGATAGATAGAGAAGTAAGTACTGCCAAAATCGTTTAGCCTGTTAATAAAACGTCCGTGTAAAGACATCAACGTTAGAAGAAAACCAAAGAACTATCGTTTGGTGAATCTTCTCTACTATCTTAATAGCACAACATGTAAATGTAGTGAATGGTACTTTCCTGTGTAGGTGATGTCATTTGAGAAATTTTCGAGGTTAACTGTCAAGTCTACCCTTTAACGGTTGTACCACAGCATTCAAAAAGTGACTGATAGAAATTTGTCTGTCAAACTGTTTATTTTCCTAATAACTCAGTCATTCACGACTGATAAACTATGTATTCAATAGTGCATATACTATAAACATTCAACATTGAAAGATTTCATCAAAAATAAATTGAATTATTTTCGTATTCTATAAGCTCTATTTTAATCCCTCCTTTTTTAAGATCTAGGGACCCCGGACTAGAGAACATTTTTCAAGATATACTTACTGAATTGCATTCTGCCTTATTATTGACTGATCATTTGACGATAAAGTCTGTAAATCCTATCAGTCAACCGCGTACCGACTGTAAAAATTTAAAGCTCAACGAAATTCATCAAGGTAATCCAGACGAAGTAGATGAAGCATCCGATCAGTTGACAGGACCTATTTTTATTAGAATGCTACTTATTTCCATGCTTACTTACGAATATACAAGTCAGTTAAAATCACAACCAGGTCTTAAGGAATCAGACGCAGGAGAACTGGAAGAAGTCTCAAATATACCAGACCATCCTGATAAAATTGACGATATTGTGGTTTCAAGCAGTTCAGCAACTAATGAAGTTATAAAAACCAACCAGGTATGTAAAACGTTTGTTGATTTTTCATCGATTTCCAATCCAATTTTCATTAGGAGTAAATATGACTGTATACTTATCTCCTCTCTCTCTTTCTCTGTGATGCCATGCTTTGCGTTTATCAACTGTGATTCATTTAATCGTTAAAGTCTTATGAAAAACAGTAGTAACCTTTTATGATCATACTCTAGTCCAAACCGATATGCAGGTGAAGAAACAAACACTGATGATTTCAGTTGCGATCCATTAATTTAGCTATTCCATACAGTCAACAACTAGGTGACATGTCTGTACCCGCTTCTGTCAGATGTATTGTCTTCGAAAGGCAGGATTTATTTCTAAACGAAGTGCAATAAAGTGGCTTGGCGTGTAAAGCTTTAAAGCAGCAACATGTAAGTGTGTAAATGTTTACTAACTTGGAAATCTTGCTATAAGTTCAGTGTTTACATATTCACTAATCCTTTACATAAAGTAAGCCTGAAAACAAAAAAAAGATGTTGTTTTGATGTCAAGGCATTTCAAGTAGTTTGTGCAGTATACTGACCTTTTTTTCTGTCATCTTCAATAAGTCCTACGCTTTATAGTCTTATGAAAGCATTTAGGCATCTAAAACACGGTAGTGTTTTAAATATTTTCAATGGTATGCATCTTATATTTATTTATATGGTAGACGGCCCACAGTATTACTTCTAACTTCCAACCTTTTTTTTAAATATATCTTTCAGGTTGTCCCTCCCACTAACTCTTCATCTTTAGTAACTGATAAATATGATTCATTATCAACTTCTATCTTACCGGATATTTATGGACCGTTATCTTTTACTCTGTCTATCGGAGAAGTTTTTGTAACACATGTTTGTAGGCAAATCTATCATCATCTGGGTCAATACATGGAAGGACCTAAAAATAAGTCAACAAAGTCAGACGCAAATGTCAATTCTGACTTCGCTGCATCCTCTAAACCTTCAGATAAGCAGAATTGTCAACATGTTATAACGGATAAATTACCATCTGATAATGTTTCATCAACTGGAATACTGTCGGAGATTGCAGCGGGTATGTTAACTTTGTAGTTGATAAACAACTCCTTGATTGATTAATGCTTTGTACGGTAATACATATAGTACTACAAAACTAAAAGTTAATTTCAGTTTCTCAGTACACTACAAATGAAAAGAAATATATGAATGTCAATGTATTCCTTTCTATACCAAGTGCTTAAATCCTAAAATCACACTTCCACTAGTGCATTTATGTGTATTGGAGAGCTTCCAGTAACTCTTATAGATCCATAATTCTATTATCTTCAACATAAATACAAGTGCTTTATGGCTAACATTTGATAGAAACCTGCTATAGTAAGTTGTATTATGCAACTGATTTGGATTATTTGACTAAAATCATCTACCGGACAACTGAGGAACTCAAGATTACTGCATTCAGGTCTCAGTTCACTCTATGGACTTGGGTTCAAATGGTACTCTTTATATCAGGTTTATTACCTTATAAAACAATGGGTTATTGGCTTGTGCACCTACAATATACCATATTTAGCTCATATTCCGTGTGACAAAGCATTAGAAATGAACTAACTAGTCAACTTTTGTTTTTGAAAGCAAACTTAATAAAGAGTATACAACTTCCTGTTATTTATGTATTATGAATCTTATTTCTAATCTGATTTATTGTTTACGTTAACTTTGGATTTTCAAGGAGGTTGTAGATAGAGTAAATATTCTTATCTTTTATGTATGCGATTTCTACTTATTTCATTCTGATACGTATACACATACACTGTTTCTGTCCAATTGGTGCTATATGATATGCTGAAAATTGTGCGAAGTATTCCCAAAATATCTTTTAGAACAAAGCCATTATTATTATTGTTACTGGAAACCGACCCAGTGGCTGAGTCGTTAACGCGTTCTCCGTGAAACCTGAAGGTTCTGAGTTCGATCACTAACCAGGTCATGGGTGCGTACTGCTGAGGAGTCCCATACTAGGACGAAACAGCTGTCCAGTGCTCCCAGGTTTTCAGTGCTTCCCCAACTGATGTCAGTCCATGATGAATACTACTTCTAAATTAAAAATCCCCATTCATCTGAAAAATACATTATTATTATTATTAAATCCCCATAAATTATGATTTTCATTGTAGCTGGACTCTCTGATTTATTCATCTAGGCTTATATACTTTAATATGCACAGGGTAGAATCTTACTTAACACAGTAATACCTTTCTCCACTGTGTACCCAAAATCGTGACACCCTTTTTATGTTAATGAATTGTGACTTTGCTAAACTGTTATTTTTTCCTATTGACTCAAGTCTCTCTAAATATGGTATAATTTACTTTTCAAATTAGATACTGGCAGTCCTGAAGGTGATCAAGAGGATTCAAATGATGTTCAATGTACGGGAGTAAACTCACATGAAAGCCTACATTACAGTACAGACAATGATGAGGATGATGAAGACCAGATAAGATCAAGATTCTGTCGATGCTCTTCAGATGATGATTCAGAACATGAATTCCTACAACGAGTATCTGATGATGATGATGATGATGATGACGATGATGATGATGATGATAATGAGTCTGATACAGATTTTTGGGGTTCCGATGACTCTAGTTTATTACATTCACAAGTAAGTACAATTGTTACGATTCATTTGTTTTTGTTTTAAACTAATGTAGAAGTATTATCAAGTCTGATAACCCATGATTACTTCATGACAGTATTCCTCGCAAATCGATAATAATCGTCCAGAAAAGTCAAATCACGTAATACTGTATAGTTGTGTTTCGTATAATTATTCAAGGATACATTAGTAGTATTGGATAAATCCACACATCTGACTTAAGTCATTTGGTTATCGTTTTCAAACCGCGTTCCTTCTTGATTTCGACAACAAGGTGGTATCATCTTCAAGTTTTCTGCTGTGTAGCTCATACCCTTCATATAGTGACTTGATACGGTAAATAGGAATCACTCATATTTCAAAGTATTTTCTATCATACATTGAAAGTAACCAGAGAATTATTAAAAACCGTGAAGCACTGGACAATTGTTTCATCCTAGTTAAAAAAACCCTCATCAGTTGTGCATACATGACGCTATTTGGAACTGGGTTCATTTCCCCTTGGGGGATAGTTGATGAAATCGATATGACTGCAATGTGCTCAAAACTCAAAGACACCATGGATGATAGAATGCTGCTACTCGTTGAAATAATTTCCAATATCTCAAAAGTTAAAGTGTCCTGAAGGAAATCCTTATGATCCTTTTAAAGGTTATTAGTGCATATGACTGAAAAGTATTTGGTAACTCTGAATGGTTGTTATCACTCCTGAAATTAGTCTAAAATAAAGTGTTGGGAAATATAACTTCTTGTACAACGGGTCGAACAATTCGATCCAACAAAACAACGGAGAATAACAAGTATGTCAATAAGTAGTAATATTTATTAATAAGAAAAATTTACCTTGCTCTAACCATATTTCACTTATTGTTGGTTCGAAAATTGATAATGTTGAGTGAAGCTGTAGCTTACTAATCTGAGCACTTGATTTTCAAACAGCTGGATACGGATTCTAACTCAACTCCTATGATTTTGAAAATGGTGTCCTTCTAGACAGCATCTTCAGCACTAACTTCAGCTCAGAGAACACAATACAACGAAGGTTAACCCAACTCCACCAGTAGAAATCTAAGCGGCCATCATACAATAGGTATGGCTCATTGCTTACTGCATGAATGGATTTTGATTTCTTTTGATGATATTGAATGCATCATCCGTTAAAACAAGGTTTATAAACGATTGGGCTCATTGCTACACAGTTTCACCTGTCTGTCATGTTTGTTTTTTGTAATGTAATAAAAAGAAATCTTATAAGTTATTGAGATAATATTGAGTGATTCAATGAAGCCACTTCTCTTGAAACCAGTTTGTTATGTAGAAAGGATTAGTTGCTAACTCATTAGTAATAACAATAATAACTTCCTGGACACTCTTATTCTAATAAAATCGGTGTTATAATGTTTTATCTTGTAAATATGATAATAGCGTAACCGTAAATGTAGAAGACTTATTACTTTCGTATTTATCTGGTAACTTTTAAAGATTTATATCATCCTATATGAATAACATTTTATTTCAATCATCAAACATATTCGTTATATGTTTATTTTCAGGATGAAATCAACTCTACAGATACTCCTTCCGATGATGATATAGACGTCTTCTCTGATGATCGTTTGAGACGTGCTTCCAAGCTTAATCACTTTGAAACTCATAGAAAAACAAAACAAATTAAATCTGATAATGCATCATCGAAACGTCTATCAAAATCCAAGGATCCTAATAATAAATTGGGTTGTATATCTGAGGAAGAAATTGGAGATGAAGGCAAATTAGAGAAGAACGAAGGTGAGCTGTAGATTTTACTAAATAACTCTACTCAAATTCCGTGACACTATTAAAATGTCTTACATGTCAGCCAGCCAGGCTTAGATTAGTCGATACAACTTTAAGTTTCGATTAGGAAATGTGAATAGGGATGAGAAATGATACTGTAATTATGATGATTTCTGATTCTTTCAGTATGCGCTACAATTCATCGTGTGTTTATGCTAGTGATACACTTAGAATACCCGATTCATCTAACACTGAAACAGACGACATGCATATACTTTGAGCTACCAAAAATTTTACACTTAATATATTTATTTCATCAGATTCTTACCTTTCAATTTGTTCAAATCTCTTAATTATGTTTTTTTTAAACCCGTCACATACACATTGAAAACATACTTTTAAAATGGTTTCAAATTACCTTCTCTCCAGGTTAACAACAAAACAAAGATTAAACATTACACCCGTAAGAGATGGGCTTATAAACTCACAGAAATACAGTACATTACTATTCCGTGTAGTCTTTTGTACTGGCCAAATGAATTATCACCAGCAAAAAGTACTACTATTCATTAATCAGCCCAATCCAGACGTTAATTGTAATCTCGAGTGCCTGTTTCACATTATTATTATTATTATTAACATTACAAAAATGCAATGATTATTTCGCTTAAGGATATTGTAAGAGGAGTGAACTTGGTGAACTATTACATGTTGAAGATCATATACTTTATCACATATATTGTTTGGAATAAACCTGCTATTATTATTATCACCATTATCATTACTATTATTACTGTCATCAATATTATGATCCTTACTACTATGATTGTTACTACCATTATCATTTTTATTATTGTCACTCACTTCCACACAAACGAACTGTCTATCCGTAGCTTGTTATTGTTATTATTATCATCATTATTACTGCTATTTTTATTTTTACCATTATCACTATTGCTATTATCACCATTATTATTATTATCACTATTATTGTTACTATCGTTGCTATTATTAGGATTATTATTATTATTATTGCTATTCACTTCCTCACAAAATGTGAAGTATTTGTCCATAACTTGTAGAAAGTACTTGTGATGACAAAAATAATCAAATAATCTGTAATATATGTAAGGGGAATTTGAGAGTGGTACTGTATCCGACTAAGAATAAGGTAGATACTCTAATAAACTGACTGAATAGAGGTAAGTAATGCTAAATGACAAGAAAAAATGAGATAAGTACAAATCGATGTAAAACAAACTGAGTGTATCACATCCGCAAGAAGATATAATAATAATAATAATAATAATAATAATAATAATAATGATAATAATAATAGCAGGTTTATTCCAAACAATACATGTGATACAGTATATGATCTTCAACATGTAATAGTTCACCAAGTTCACTCCTCTTACAATATCCTTAAGCGAAATAATCATTGCATTTTTATAATGTTAATAATAATAATGTGAAACAGGCACTCCGGATTACATTAACGTCTGGATTGGGCTGATTAATGAATAGTAATTCAAGCGTACTTTTTGCTGGTGATAATTCATTTGGCCAGTACAAAAGACTACACGGAATAGTAATGTACTGTATTTCTGTGAGTTTATAAGCCCATCTCTTACGGGTGTAATGTTTAATCTTTGTTTTGTTGTTAACCTGGAGAGAAGGTAATTTGAAACCATTTTAAAAGTATGTTTTCAATGTGTATGTGACGGGTTTAAAAACATAATTAAGAGATTTGAACAAATTGAAAGGTAAGAATCTGATGAAATAAATATATTAAGTGTAAAATTTTTGGTAGCTCAAAGTTTATGTAGGCCCCCTGTAATGAATGACATACTCCATTCAGCAAACCTGGTGCTCAAAATCTCGAATGTTTTTCCTTTGTGAAATAGTTGACAAATGTTTTCACCCTACATAATAATACATCATATGAAAGCTTGAGGGTTTCAATGATTAACTTAATTGAATTTATAGGTGTAGGGTCAGTACGAAATGTATAAACTGTATTTAATTTTCCCCACTGACTCCCAGATCATCATAACCTGTGTACTGTCCAGGGAAATAGCTCATCAAGAACTAGAGAGCATCATTACACATACGTTGACGTTCATGTACAGCATCTTTTGCATTGTGTATTCTCTCACACAACTTTGTCTACTTTGCTATCATTCTTTTTCTATTCACCTATTCTTTGTGCACTTCTGTAGAGTGTTGCAACCTACACCGATGCACTTGTATGCGAGGTTCTACGTTAATTTTGTTTGTCTGTCTGTGTTATGCATCCAGTTATTACAATTTGCCTGATAAGGAGTAAAACTCATACTAAGACATCTGTTTGGATTTCTGACAAAGATCAAACATTTATATTGCTATTATTTTTTTCCCTTGGGTTCCTAGTGTGGAACATAGCGCTTCAGTAGCACGCCTCCGTTGCACTCTGTTCTCTGCAGTCTTTTCAACCTGGCGCCAAGACTGCCCACAAGCTTTCATTTCTTCTTCACATGGTCTCCTCCATGTCACCTTCAGCTTGAACGCCCAACTCATCGTTTCCCCTTTGGATTCCGCTCGGTGGCCTGGCGCATGATGCCCCAGTCAACCTTCTCAGTGTATGCCCATTCCAATCCATCTCCACTTTCTTCTGCATATTTGTCGGTTGATTCGTTGCCTGGCCAGAGTTCCTTGTTGCTTATTCTTTCTGGCCATCTGATCTTCAGTATCGAGAGAGCGTAGGCAGCTGTTGATGTATATCTGTAGATTTTTGGAAATGCTTTTCCTGACACGCCAAGTCTCTGAACCATATAGAAGCACTGACTTGATGTTGGTGTTGAAAATCCGGATCATGTCCATGCTTTATGCTGATTGGAGTATATCTCCACACTGATTTCAGATTAACGAAAGCCTGTCTTGACTTTCAGATCCTGCTTTTGACATCCTCGTCTGTGCCTATGCCGCCTGTAGTTCAAACGATGCTGCCTTGCCTGGGTAGGTGAATGACTACTTCCTTTAGGTTTCTCCCGGTAGTGGTGATTGATGCCTCTTGTTGATACTGTTGTTGTTTGAGTATCTCCATAACCTCCGTCTTTTCTACATTCACTTGAAGTCCCATTTTCGCTGCCTCACCTCTTCTGTCAACTTGTTAGTTTTCGCCTGTAGATCTTCGAGTTTGTGCGTCATTAAATATAAATCATGGGCGAAATCCAAATCTCCTAGGGTGTTCTCATCAGTCAAACAGCGTATGCCCATTTTCTCACTACTCATGGTTTGCTGCATGATCCAGTCCAGTCCTGTCTACCGCAGTCAGGAAGATCTTGGGTGATAGTGGGTGGCAACCTTATCTTACTACTTCCCGTCTTCACTTCAAAGGCGTCACTGAGCTTTCCATTTTGGACGACTTGGCATGTGGCCTTTTCATATAGCTGTTGAATGAGGTTGATAAAGGTTTGCTACACTAAAACCGTAGTGTAGAAGCAGCTGCCTGCCGAATTACTTTTCGGTCGACGCTGTCAAAGGTTTTTCAAAGTCGATAAAGTTGAGGTTGAGTTGAGTTGACTACCATTCTATACTCTGTTCTACGACGACGCGTAGCGTTGTAATTTGATCCGCACATAATTTGTTCTTCTTGAAGCCAGCCAGCCTGTTCTCGTCATAACTTTGAATCCAGAGCATCTTTTAGTCTCTCCAGTATGATGCGGCGTAATATTTTGCCTGCTTCGGTGGACAGCAGCATGATTTCGCGCCAGTTCTTGCAAAGGCCTAGGTCTTCCTTCTTTGGAAGTTTGACAAGGTAACCCTTCTTCCAATCAATCGGCAGGTACCTTTCCTCCCTTCCAAACATTCTGTAATAGTGATGTGAGCATGTCCGCTGTTGTCTCTGAGTCTGTTTTCAGTGGCAAACGGCTTCAATATGCATTGCAGATATTCACTTCGGTGAGACATTATAGAGTTCTTAAACCTTTCCAGTTTCCCCCTCAGTTTACGAGAATCCGAATCATTTCTTTATGCTTTTGCTTTTTACTGAAGATGTTCAGTTATCGCTAAATGTCGATTATACTTAACATCTTTTTGAAACGAGTATTTAACGAGTTGTTTTTTATACGATTTATGTTGGAGTTAGTTTAGTTTCACTACAAGTTATATGAATGAACAAGTGGTTTTTCAATTTGTTACATTTTTCAATGTTTTTACACTATCCATAGAGTTTAAACCGCGAGTGTTTATCACTTCATATCAATCTTGATAACCATTCTCATCTGCTTGTATGATTGGAATTGTAGAAGATAAGTTTTCTTTACTCATTACCTGTTTATCTTTTCCATTTATACATCATCCTAGAATTGGCTGAACATCCAGTTTCTAAAGATACTGAACAACCAACATATCATGAGTAAGTAGTATTTTTTTCTTCTTCATCCTACTACTTTAAGAGATCTCATGTATACAAATTATTTCTGTTGCCTAGTAGTGTCGCAGTGTAAAACCCGTATTCTGTCGATTGAGCGTGCAATGTTACTACTTTGTTGAACGACTTAAAGGCTGGCTGATGTTGAGTGATATTGTAAGGTTAGTTATCAAAACTTTATGAAAAACTAAGTTTTGTGGTTTGAAATTAGACTGACACGTTCGATCTGGAATCGAACGATGGTGATAATCATTCTGTAAAGTCCCTTTGACTTTTTCGATGGCATCATTTAAAAAAAGAGGGAACTATTCAAGTGTGTCCAAGTAGAATTAGGTAGAAGAAAACTAAGGGTAACCAGGCCTAGACGTAGGACCGGTTTGCTGTTGGTCTGAAGCTTGCAGGGAGGTGTAAACCACCTGACTGAGGGTTTTCAAGACGATAGAAATCAATGTTTGGAGACTGTAAGTGATATGACTGAAAATCGACTGGACTAGTGCCGATGTATACACCTCCTATCACTTTTGAATTCTTAAACATTTTCATTAACCTTCATCTATTTATTCCCTAGCTTGTCATACACTTTTGTCTACCTTAATACCATTTCTATCCACTTGTTTCGGCATGCTACCTTAAAGTGTGGCAACTTAAACCGGCACACTTGTGTATCTGTTTCTTTATCTGAAGGAAATTACTTTACAAGCCAGGGGTTGTAAACGTAAACCAGTGTTAAATTTCCTAAGGAATAATCACATCAAGCCTTGAGATTCCTTGACGTTATCAATAATGTGTTAAGATTTTCTTCTGTCAAACATTTAATGATAAAATAAATGATAACAACAAACGGGTATGGATATTTACCTCTCAACAAACCAGAAGATAAGATGATGCATAATAAGCTAAGGAGAATAAGCGAACTTGGTCGACAAACTTCAATCACTGACGACCACTAAGAATAAGACAGGTGGGTTATATCAATTGCCCACTGGTGATGAATTCATGTGCTTAATCGAGTCTTAAAGTATATGAACGAACCATACAAATCGCGAGTTTAAGAAGTCAAACTACTAATCCCCTCTCAGTTTAAAAAAAACCTTCTAAATCGTGTGATTGAGAAGGATTAAAGTTTTGATAATTCTACTCTCAGTAATTGTGAAACAATAATTTTCCGCCACTGTACCTACATCCTTTACCTCAAAGTAATTGGTGATCCTTTTGAAACCCATAACAAATCATAACCGAAATTGCTTAATGGTTAAATTCTTGAGTATAAAGCTTTAATTGTACAGCACAATTTCCCCCATCTTGCTGATTAATTCTAACTACTGAACACCGAAATTCTAAGTATTCTGCAAAATTATTACTTAGATTGAACTTAGTGTTTCGACCCAGTTCATGACAGAATTCAGGGTCTTCTGGACTGGTTAAGCGGAAATCTGAGAAGTTTTGATTAGCATGCAGTTTGCACCTGTCAAATATATTAGATGATGCCTTATGAATGGTCTGTAACCCCTCGGAGTTTAATGATAGGGAGTGAAGTGGTAGGATATGTCGACCATCTTACTCACTTGGGATTTCCATCAGCCCGAATGGGCTGGCTGCTGACAAGATGTCAGCCCAGATATAGAAGATCCTATGGCGCCGATCTACTAAATATCCAACCATCTATCAAAGGACGAGTATACTGCGATGCAGTCCTTTCTGTCCTGTTATATAGCTATACGATATGGCCGTTAAAAGTATACGACAAGAAAGGATTACAAGGTTTTCATCATAGGTGTCCTGGTATCATTTCTCGCGTTTGTTGGAATCACCGTATGAGCAATGTTCAGGTCAAACAAGGGGTACTAGGGAAGATGGCAAAGTCGGTTGGTGAGGTTTTGAATCTCCATCGGCTGAGATGGCTTGGACGTGTACTGCGCATGCCGAGCCACCTCATTCCTCGATTTGCCGTGCTGTGAAAGTTGGATTAGGCTTGAAGACGGTTCAGAGTGGCGAGGCCAAGACCTGGCACCTGCTGATGAAATCTCACTGTTGATTTGAGCTGTGTGGGGAGATTTCGACTATCTGATTAGGGTTCTCGAGATGACAGGAATTAGTAGTTGAGGATTGTTAGTTGAAAATCGGTCATAATGGCGCAGATGTATTCACTCCATGGCGTCTTCTAAAGATTGAATAATCACACTAACCTTTATTTTTAGATTGTTTATTCTCTCATACTACTTCATTGATTTTGATATCACTATTTCGATCCACCGGTTCTTTGTATACCACTAGGAGGTGTGGGAACTTGAGACGATGCACTTGTTTACGAGGTTTTACGTTGTCTTTTTTAGTTAGTTAGTTGGTGATCATCTTCATACAATATGTACTGAGTAGGAAGACTAAAAAAAACACTGTGGCTATAAGTAATAAGGAAAGAGAAAAGATGATAGATGCAAATAATTGTTATCATTTAGGTGAGGCTTGCATTATTTTTTTCAAATTTTTCAATCATTAGACTTGTCTTGGATTAAGACACTTATTCAAAGTGTCTTTTAATGTTTCTCTGCACTTAATGTCTCTACATATCTCTTATTGTGCTTACTTGTCCAAAGACATTCAGTCAATGTCCTATTCAACCGTGAAATATAGTCGTTGTATTATGAACTCTTAATTTGTTTCAAACATTTGCCATACTTAAGTGTTCATATTCTAAGAGTGAGGAGCAAGTGTATTTCATCACATTTTATAGATTTTTTTTTTTATTATAAAGAAATACAGTTTTTACTTTTATTTTCTAGTTGTACTGTTGGTTCTATGGACAAGAATATCAACTATTCTCCAAAATATCATCAAGAAGCTATGACTGAGAGTATATCAAATCCTTGTGATACATTCAATAAAGAGTTATATGATCCAAATAAAGATATAATGACACGTATCAATCTATTCAATCGACTTTATTTACTATCAGCTGTTAAATTGTTTCTGGATTGGTTATCAAGTTCACAGTTTAAACAAATGAATATATCAACAGTACAAAATATGAATTCAATTTTAATTCCTGATGGTTGTATTAAATCACAGAGATTTAGTCGTGCTAGTAGTATTTGGCAAGCATCTGTAGAAAGATTTTTATCACAATTAATACCTTTGTTAAACAGTGTTTATCCATTATATGAAACAGTATCACATGAATTATTCTGCAACAAATTGATTAATGCTTCAAATGTATACAACAATAATCATTTCGATGAAAAAGAACGTATAAATACGGATTCTTGTCCACATTTCATTGATCCAAGTAAGTTTTCTTCTTAGCTATATCATTATATTTATGTTATGTATAACACAAAAAATGATTCTCAGATAAGAATAACTTTTTTAATTCATTTATTCTCTAAGTCAATTTTCTGTAATACTGAGATTTTTACTGAAAACAGTTTTAACGACACATCAAAGCTATATAGAAAACTCTTTTCAATGTTGATATATTTTAATGCATTTTCTTTGACTCAAAATAGAATATTGATGATGAAATAGCTTCTACAGTTCTCCGCCTACCTCAAAAAAAACACTTAATCAGTCATTTATTATTATGAGGAATGAGATTTTGTTCGAATGCGGTTACTAGTGAACAGTTGTACACCGTCATAGATGTGGTATAAATTCATGAGAATCTCATTGAAAGCAATATAATAATATGCAGTATGCATATTTCTAGGTATGCCAGGATGTGTTACATGTGTTCCTTAAAAAATTAATATAACTTAGCTGATGTTATTGGTAAATTACTTCTTAAATCTTTGATTGTATCACTGAGAAAATCTCACCACAGATTAGTATAAGGGTAAAACTTGGGCAGTGGTAGATGATAATTCTATTTTAGTCTGTTTATTAGAAATATCATACAGTGAGACAGTATCATTCACTGGATAACGTTTTGGACACAATTTATTGTCCATATTTATATCAGGTAACTGAAAAACTTTGAGATAGAGTTTACTTAATTCTAATCTTCTCTCCTTCTTTATAATGACGAAGGTAGTAGAATTTTCCATATATCTCGAAAAGGTGCAGAATCATTTCGATTGCATGTATTTGGTGTTGATTCGATAAACAAAGAAGTGGCTATCGTGGCTCGGTGGTGTAGTGGATAGCGCGCTGGCGTTTGAAGCGATCGCCCCAGAGTCCGAGTCCCGGGGGGATCAACACTCACTGGGAAGCAGGTACATCCAGCTGACGAGTCCCAAATAGGACGAAATGCGCATCCTAGATTTCACTGCTAGCCACTGCCCATCATTACTAAACATATTTAAAGATTCAGTTGGTTGTCAACCTATCTCTCCACCCAACTAAGTTAGTTTTCAACACTGTCACTCTATCCTACCCTGTGTGATTGTGTGTAATTGCGTGCAGAGCTATAGCCGAACTTTTCTCTAGATTTCTTATCATATTAGGATCCACTAATCTTCGTTTAGCTAAGTTGTTGTGCTCTGTCATTCTAATCGACTCTGACAAGTCGACTACTTTGACCAACGCATTTGACCTCGCAATTATTGCAGGGGATTTGGTAAACCAGATTATTTTGCTTTATTGCATCGATAGGATCTTTTAACCTACAGACCTAATTTCTAAGCGAGTTTGTTGGTTTAAATGCTACTCCAATCCCAGCCTTATTGAGAATTCTTCGTAATGGTGTCATCTTCATATGGTAACACACTGGAGGCTTTGAATTCTCTCTCATCACTGTCACCATTAGTACCTCCATTATCGCTATTAGTAGTTGAGTTACGATTAATAACACCTGCTCATATATTTATTTCCATTGCTTATAAATTTATTTATAAATTTCGTTGGGTAATTATTGAGACGTAAGGTATTCCCGATTTGTCTAATTTCTTTTTCACCCTACCACTTAGTCATTTAACTAAGCTTACTTTAACTGAGATAGGTTGACATGATTTGAAGTCTGAGTAACGATTTGAATGGGAAGGTTTCCTCTAGACACTAGTCTCTAGACTTCCGTCTTTTTGTCGATTGATCTTGTAATCCAATATTGCTACCTCACCTTCATCACTTTGTAAGTTACAAGTAAATTGGATTGCATTCACTACTGAATTTAATTATGCCAAAGACCTGTTGATGTGTTCCGATTTCAGTATTGTGAATGTATCATCTACATATCGGAAGCATATCTTTGGAGAAGGACCAAATGTTTTGAATTGCCATCCCTTCCCAACTATCCATAAATATGCCTGCTACGTCGCTGTGTAATATTTCTACATATGTCTGCTACATAATAAACACGCACTCACGAATCCAATGGAGTATTGCAAGTAACTTATCCATGCATGTAGAGTTGTAAATGATTTCAATTTATCGTTTTATCTGCTACTTCGGCTTGTTGTCGTTGTTGTTGTCAGTGCGAATGGTGTAATAAATATGACATCATTTGAACGGCAGTAACCACAATGCAATTCAGAATTAAATGGTCATTAGTAGTTTAGAAATTCTTGATACATTCTTGTTGTTTACCTTTAAACTGTCATCGAAAAGAGACTTTAGTGAATGAGAGAGAGAGAGGGGGGATTATTTACTGGCAACTCCGTCGTGATTCAGTATGGTAAAACAAGTGTATTTGTTAAGAATTTTTCAGGAGTTAATTTACCACAGCAATATTAAATATGCCAAGTTCGTGTGCCAAGCTTTCTGGATTGCTGTATCAGGCTTGACGCCTTTGTAATAAAGATAAGAAGTCATTAATGTTTTCATGATCATAGATTGATAGTTATGGAAATGATGCTCCTCCCCGACAACACTTCATTATTGATTTTCATACTTTTTCTTCTTTCTCCTTGAGTTTATGTAATATTGAGTGATGAAATTGTTTTGCACCAGATGAAATTTGAACTTAGATGTTATAATTTTTTTTAGTAGGAAACCCTTAACCTAGGTTGTGTGCTTATTAAAACTCATCAGGAAGGTGGGTTTGCGATAATGAGCTAAGTGGTTAATGTTCACTCGCTGATTTGAACCTACCCCACTTATCAAGACGCTTTTTCTAGCACCAGCATGAAAAATATGTCTAGGGTTTCCTAACGTCTAACACTTTAGTACGGTGTACCGTAATATCATGTCATTTAACTTAGTAGCTATACTGCAAACTTTGTCGATAGACGTCGATAAAGATTGAACACTAAGGACTGAACAGTTACATCGGCTACTCACTGGTAACCACTTTGTTTAGATTATCCATGTATTCATTTGAAAGCTCTTATACGGATGTCCTGTGGCATACGAGTCTGCTTTTGAGGTTTTCATATATGTGCTTATGTGCTACAATAACAGTTTCCTTTCGTAATCTCCACCTGCTTCTCAACCAAATGAAGCTCGAATGTAACTAAATATGAATGTTTTCATAAACTTTTTAACTGTAACCAACAGCTCTTAACGGTTATCTTTTGCTTACTGGAGATTAAAAAGTAAATTTTAAGTACAGTGAAGAGTTGTTTGGATGTTTAAGAGTGTTTTACTCCAATTTTCGGCTAAGCTCTAAGTTCCAAATCGGTCTTGAGATTCGTGAAAGTTCCAACAAAAACCTGGTGGGTCGGTCTCCTCGCCGAACTGGGAACATCGTAGCAACTCTTCCACACGAAAATGACCACTCTTGCCAGAATATTCTGATAATCCCCTCTTAAAACTAGTCAGTGTAATCCCATAACCCTCCTAACTATCAGGCTTCAACGCACCTACAATCCCCGGGCAATAGGATCGTTTGGCCGTACTTGCCTCCCCGTGGGCATACTTACGTGGAACGCTTTCTCACTGTTTCTGCACATTCTTGCAGAATAAAATGCAGTACACCTTCCCGAAAAGATGTTCCCTCAAGAGGCCTGTCCCATGAACTAATAATGCCGACCGATTCACAGCAGTAACTCATCAGGTTACTGATAAACACCCAAGGCTCCGGCAAACAACACCAAGCATCTCGGGGAGAATATCACCCACCTTCATAGACAGACAAAGTCAACGTAGAACCTCGCATACAAGTGCATCAGATCAAGTGGATGCATCTGCCCTACTGTGACGGGTTTTTAGCCGTCTCACCAAGAGTCCTCAAACCCTCATTCCTTTCGTATCCAGGACCTTAACCAGAACCTCTACATCTCCCCACACAACTCAGACCAACAATTAGGGACTTCATCGACTGGCGCCAGGTCTTGGTCTCGTCATCCTGAACCCTCTTCCCCTAAGTAATCCAACTCCCCCCAACATGGCATGTCGAGCAAGGTGATGGCTTGGCGTGCGCAGTCCATGTACATGCCATCTCAGTCGACTAAGTTTCACCTCATCAATCAACTTTCCTGTACCCTTCTCAGTACACTTCGCCTGACCTCAACATTGCTGATACGGTGATCCGAAGAAACACGAGAAATGATACCAGGACACCTGTTATCAAAACTTTGTAACCGCTTCATATCTTTTAACGGCCATGTCTCACAGCCATATAACATGACAGTATGGACTGCATCGCAGTATACTCGTTTTTTGATAGATGGTTGGATATCTCACCAATCGGCCCCAAGATGATGCAATTTGGAGAATGCTAGATAAGCTTTGTATATCCGGGCTGAGATTTTGTCAGCAACCAGCCTGTTCAGGTCGACAGAACTTCCCAAGTGAGTAAGGTGGTCAACACATTCCCCCACTTCACCCCCTATCATTAAACTTGGAGTTGTTGGAGACCAGTCCGAAGGCGTCATCTTACATTTGACAGGTGCCAGCGAAATGCATGGCTAACATATTCAGATTTCTGCTCAATGCTTTAACTAAATCCTGGATTCTGTCAGCTTTTTCAGCCAACAAGACGATATCGTCTGCATACTCCAAGTCATCCAGATGATCTCCAGGGAATAGGTCAATCCCGGTGAAGTCAGTCGTACATTGGGCGATGTCCATTAGTAAGTCTGTGACGAAATTAAATAGGAACGTTGACCACTTGCATCCCTACCGGATATCACTAGTTGTCGTCAATTTAGATGACAACTCCTCTTCACAACCCCTTATATGGCTGTGATTTCCAGAAGAGATCTTTGATTAGCGTTATATACTTAGTCGTTACTCCCTTCACATCCACAACACGTTACGGTCGACAGAGTCAAATCCTGCCTTCAGGTCAAAAAGGCGTCGACCACTAGCCAGCAGGTATGTCTATATTGCAGAACCTGTCGAAGGGTGAAGATTTGACCGAAATACCCTGGTTCAGATCTGAAACCTGCCTGGATTTCCCTAATTTACTCT